ATAAACCCTGCATTATTCGGGTTCGGGTCAACCCAACTCATTTTTTACAAACGGATCGATTTTCCAGACCCAAACCCAACCCGCTTCGAGTTCGAGTCAAACCGACCCACCCGTTTAGGCACTTCAGCAGGCAATGGCTGCGGCAACGGCATTCGACGGGTTTACCGGGCAACGTCATCGGCGTTCGGAGCTGTAGTGGCCAGTGGGGCAGCGTCATGGCGTTCCGACAGGCTCGAGCTGGCGCGGCATGAGATGTCACGATGCGACGTGGGCCTGGCCGTCACGCAGGCAAAAGCCGCGGCTCAATGCACGCGGCCACGACTACGCGGGCAAACCGAAGCAACGGAATGGGCAGGCTAGCAGGGAACCCTGGGCAGGCAACATGGGTAAGGGTTTTCCGGGTCAACCCGAATCCCGACCCATTTTTAAAACGGGTTGATTTTTCGGACCCAAACTGACCCGCTTCGGAGTTTGGGTCAACCCAAACCCAAATTTTCATGTCAGACTCGGGTTGGGTTTTCGGTCGGTCCAATATTGACAGGTCTATAAAAAATTATTTCATAAAAACAATAAAAAAGCTCACAAACAAAGAATTAATAACGCTTTAATGAGGTATGATCTTGGGAAAAATTTCAATAAATGAATAAATTTTTTAAAAATTATGGAAAATATAATTTTTCTAATTCCCAAAGAGTTGAATATGTTGAATTAAAACAAGTGAGACATGCATAATTATTTTAATAAAATTTTATTAATAAGTCTTTATAGACTTATATAAAACAAAATTTTAGAATAAATAATGCCTGACATAAAACGAATACAGGGAGGGGTCAATAGCATAATCAACAAAAGAATTAAAAAACAAGATAAATCAAATGTGTTTGAAAATTTTCTATCATATACCTAAATATCATTTTCCTTTAAAATTTTATTAATAAGTCTTTATAGACTTATATAAAACAAAATTTTAGAATAAATAATGCCTGCCATAAAACGAATACAGGGGTCAATAGCATAATCAACAAAAGAATTAAAAAACAAGATAAATCAAATGTGTTTGAAAATTTTCTATCATATACCTAAATATCATTTTCCTTTAGATTGCTTACACTACAATTTATGCTTCGTTTGAGACAACTTTCATATTATTTTATTAAAAAAGTTTTTAGTTCAAAAATTTTTTGAGAAAAAAAATTACATTAAAAAGTGATTTAAAAGCAATATGTAAGTTATCTCAGAGCCTTAGGCTTCGTTTAAAACAGATTTCTTATTATTTCTTAAAACAACCTTTCAGTATAAAAATTAAAAGTATACTAAAAAACTGGTTTAAAAAAACTTCATTTGGGATAACTTTATTATTACTTCTTAAAATAGCTTTCTAATTTAAAAATTAAAATTTTGATATTTAAAAACTATTTCAGGAAACAATAAGAAAATCATCCCAAACAAAATCTTTGAACTAGAAAGCCGATTTAAGAAGCAGGAAGAAAGTCATCTCAAATGAAGCCTAAATCAAAATATCCACTACCATAACTTATATTTACTAACTTGAACTTAAAAAGCATAATATATCAAAAGTATAAAATTATCAAAGATCAACAATGGCACCCCAACTAGTGCTAAAAGTAGTGAAGGAGCAAAAATATAACCATTTATAAAAAAAAATAACTCATAGATCATCATTAAGTTATATGTATTATGGCAGAAATAAATAATTAAATATATTAAGATTGATGTATGATAAAGATTTCGTTTAGCTTTCTTAATAATTTAAAAAGCTACTTTAAAAAACAGCAAGAAAATCATATCAAATAAAGCCAAAATTAGAAAGAATAAATTGAAGAATTATTATAATAGAGGAATTACCATTGCCTTGGTGAGAATAAGATAGTAAATAATAGATTTAGAAAGCTTGGACATGTGTAATATAATATAGAAAATACACCCATAATATGGAAAGATAAAGTTAGCATTGAAAGATTATGGGGGAAGATAGACAAGAAGTGATAAATAAAAGTTCAAAACTCATATTGCAATCAATGAGAATAAATGGAGAAATAATGCTTCTTAAAGTATACAATAAATAAGTAATTAGAATAAAGTTAATGATGATGACTTCGATAATAATGATGGATGACAAAAAGCTGGAATTGGTGGTTGGCAAGCTTTTTAGCTTAGAAGTAGGGGTGTCAATTTCGGCTCATGGGTCAGGTTCAGATCGAACTAAATCTGCTTCGGATCTGGGTCAACCCGACGTGGCCCGAATGAACCGGGGCCGACCAAAAATTGCTAATTTTGGGGTCAAAATGGGTCAATCTTGGGCTTTAGGTCAAAAATGGGTTTTCGGGTCAAACGGGTTGATTTTGGATTTTCAATCAACTCAAAAGCGACCCAATTTTTGAAACAGGTTGATTTGTTGAACCCTAAAATGACCCGTTTTGGGTTCGAGTTCGGGTCCGCGTTGAATCTAACCAAGAATTTTCGTGTTGGATTTTCAAATTGTGTCAAATATTGATACCCCTAATTCGAAGTTCACTTTCAGAAACATTTGACCTAATGCCTAAACAAACAAAAGGAAAATTTTACACGCAGAGATATCACTTAAAAATCAAACTATCAAACTGGCAAACGATGGGGGTGTAAATAGTTTTTTCTTGTTACCTAATTGGGGAAAACAACCTACCACCCATGTAACAATCTAAATCACTAAGCCTGACTACAAAACCAAGTTACAAATTATAAATACTAATTTATTGAGGAATAGCAAATGATCTCCAGCTAGACAAAATTAGGGGTGTCAATTCGGGTCAACGGGTCGGGATCGGGTCAAACCCGGCACTATTCGGGTCAACCCAAACCTAACCCGTTTTTAAAAATGGGTCAGGTTTCCCAAACCCGACCTAATTCAGGTCCGGGTCAACCCGACCCGACACAAATGACCCGAAGTTGACCTAAAATTGCTAATTTTCAAGTCAATCTCAGATTTCCGAGTCAAATATGAGTTTTCGTGTCAATTTCGGATAATTTTCGGGTCATTTTTAGGTTGCTGGGTCAACCCGAACCTGACCAGATTTTTAAAACGAGTTGATTTGTTGAACACTAACCCAACCCGTTTCGGGTCCGGGTTGAACCTAACCCAGATTTTTCCGGGTCAGATTTTAGTAGTGTTTCGAGTCGTGTCAAAAATTGATACCCGGAGACGAAACAACACTCAGTAAGATGGTGTTCTGACAGCTGATAATTGAAGATTTTATAGTTGGTGATCTATCTACTTGAGGCCCAAGCTTCAAACCCTCACACAAAGAGAGAGAGAGTTTGAAAGATATAATAAGATGATTTTTTTGAATATATTACCTTTGCTGAAAAATATCATTAGAAATGCATCGTCGTGAGTTCACAGCTGATGGAAGAAAACATTGTGCATTTGACAGTCATCAATTTTTGGCCTGCAAGTTCCATTTCAAGTTCGCGTCCAGATTTTAATGAATAGATCCATGCTTTTGCCATCTAGAAGCTGTCAGAAAATGTAAGCTATCTCACAGATAACCAAAACAGATCTCAACTAATATAAAAGTACTTACTGTAATCACCAGTAGTGAAATACAAATATGGTCCATACGAGATTACATCACTGGAATTCTAATTAGATTTCATATAACATCAAACCTTTGTCATGCAGGTTTAAAAAAGATGACCCCAAGTTAGATTTAGTATATAATTTACCATCAGGTTTCAGGTCCATACGATAAGAGCATAAAGTACCAGCAGAAAGCATGGAGAAGAACATGAGGTGTTGAAGAGGAACAATTATTAGGTCCTCTGACCGGACGTAGAGCTACGTCCGGTCAGAGCTAAAATCGCGCCAAAAAACGAGAAATACCGAGCAATACCAAACAATAACGAGGAATATCATCATGTGAAGATCCAATACAGAGTTATACCGAGCAATACCGAGTTTTTTCTAGGAAAAACTCGATATTTTTTTGTATAACTCGGTATTGCTCGGTATAACTCGGTATAACTCGGTATTGGTCTTCACAGAGCGGTATTCCTCGTTATTACCAAATAATACCTAGCAATACCGAGCAAATACCGAGTTTTTTGGCGGGATTTTAGTGCCGACCAGACGTTCCTCTACGTTCAGTCGGAGGACCTAATAATTGTTCGTTGAAGAGGGGAACTTTAAGACAATCTTTGCCTCTTCTTGGCAAGATTTTCAAAGAGCCCTTGGACATCTGCAGATGTGATTGGTTTAGTTGTGTCAACAGATTCCTGCACAGTTAAAATGCTGAACGTTAAACTAACAATCTGATAGGAAGTACTTGAGTTCTCAAGTAACCTAAGGGAAATACTTGAGTTCACAAGCAAACCTAATCATAATTGGTGAAAAAACAGTGAGAAAAACTGCTGATTACAGCAGAAAACAGCAATGGTACAACAAGTGTCTTGGGAAAACAGAAGAAAACTGAGAGAACGAAGAATTCCACCAGTAGATGCAGGAAAACAACAAACGATACAAGTTTCTTCAATTCCAGAGGAAGAAACAGTTCTCCAAATCTCTAGCCAAGCCTAGAGCCCAAAGGAATCAAACCTAGATCATAAATCTGTTTTCAAATTTAAGATAACCATCCCCCCCTCCTTGTTTTTCTTGGGCCGGCAGAAACAGACCAGAATCGGTCCAGGTTGGGTCGGTTCAGGTCCAACACAATCCATCAGGTCAAGTTCAACAGGTCTAAGTTCAACTATAAGTAGATTTTCTATTTAAATTAAAGCAATCACAAAACTATTGACTCTAAAAAGTGAACCTGGATTCGCATATAAAGTTCGATCTGCAAGGATCAAAATTAAGGTATCTTACAAAAAGAGTAATGCTACACTTGCCACATAAAACGCTTCTAAAGTGAAACATGGCCCAATCAGCGTTTAGCTAAGGAAAGCCAAAAAGAAGTCCAATCACCACTTCTCATAAAACACATCAACATTTTAGGAAAATTGTTTGGGAATGGCTTTATGATAAGTCAATGATATTTCACGAGAAATGTGATGCAGCAGAATGTTGCTTCCTGATAAAATGCAAACCATAGCAGAAATTCATGAGGTGCTTCACCCTTTGGCCCCAAAAAGTGGTATTTCTGAAGGGCTGCCTAACGGCTTATGATCCTAATCAAATATTTGAAACTCTGATAATGCACTCGCAGTGTCATAGGTACCTCTACATTCTCTCAAAAACTATAGATGGATTTCACACCTGATCCATCAGTCTAGCATGTATCATCATTAGCATTACTCCAACTATGTAGGATTAGCATTCAAGTGGTATATCTTAAAATTTAAAAGCTTCCAAAAGAGAAATGGAATATTACTAATTTTGGCAGATAGGATATGGCAGAATACTGTACCAGTAGTATTAAATATTCTTGATTTATGTCATTTTACCATTAATGTCGGTACATTTTTACATACCTAAACATAAAACTGCAAGATTGTTTTGTTCAAATATGCATGTGTGCTGAAATTTATTCATGTTGATTTGCATGAGCATCAACATAAGCATGAATATAATATGTGCATATAAATTAGCAAAAATAGTATAATATATTATAAATTGATCCCATAAAATGATAGGGTTAGCTCTAAAGAATATGCATTAATGTAAAGTTTAAGTCCAGAAGAGATCTTTATTAAGATATAATTAGTTATGGTGCATGTTGCACTAGCTTGATAAATAAAACTTTTCAATTGATTTTTAAACATAAGAGGGTCTCAAATAATTGTAGAAGAAATGTTTTAGTACAAAAGTGACATTCACAATTATGCTAATTATAAAGGAATCAAAATTACAAATATACAACAAATCTATGGAAGAAAGCACAAAAAAATTGATATTAAAAGATATATATCACCTCTAAGAATCAATTTATTTTCACCCAAAACAACATTAACAACAACAACATCAAGCTTTTATCCTACTATGTGGGGTCGGCTACATGAATCTTTTTTCTTCATTGTGTCATGTTAAGAGTTAAATTTTCATTTAAATCTAATAAAAAGGTCATCTCTAATATTTACTAAACAAGTCTTTTTAGGTCTACTTCTACCTTTCTTAACATAAGTCAAATCTAATATATCTACTTTACTAATCTGGTCATCAGAAGGCCTTCGTTTTATATTACCAAACCATATAAGACGACTCTATATAATATTATCTTCCACTGGAGCTACTCCAACCTTTTCACGTATATGCTCATTTTGTATCATGTTTCTAATAGTAAAGCCACTCATCCACTTGAGTATCCTCATCTCTACAACACTTAACTTAATATTATGCTTCTCTTTAAATGGCCAAAATTCTGCACCATAAAGCATTGCAAGTCTAACTATCATCGTATAGAATTTTCCCTTAAGTTTGAGGAGAACTTTTTTATCACACAACAAGCCCGATGCATTCCTCCATTTCAACCATCCAACTTGAATTTTACTAATAATAGCCCTATCTATTTCACCATCACTCTGAACAATAGACCCAAGATATCGAAAATGTGTACTCTAATTAATGACGATCACCCAAAATCACATTCCCCCCACTACATCTATTATTACTAAAATTACACTCAATATATTTAGTTTTAGATCTACTCAAACAAAAGCCTTTAGACTTTAAGGTTGATCTCCATAATTCAAGTTTATCTTCAACTCCCTGTTTAGTCTTATCAACAAGAAGAATATCATCAGCAAAAAGCACACACCAAGGTACAACCCCTTGCAAATGTCTAATGAGAACATTTATGACTAAAGCAAAAAAGATATGGGCTTAAGGATGATCCTTGATGTAATCCAACTGAAATAGGAATATACTTGGTCAAACCATCTTGTGTTTGAACACAAATAACAGCTCTTTCATACATATCATTAATGGCTTGAATATAAGCATTATTAACCCCTTTCTTTTCTAAAACTCTCCATAGCACTTCTCTTACAACTTTATCATGTGTTTTCTCTAAATCAATAAATATCATATGAAAATCCTCCTTATTCTCTCTACACTTCTCCATCAAACCTCTCAATAAATGTATAGCTTCCATAGTATACCTACCCGACATGAATCGAAATTGATTTTGAGAAACATTAGTATCACGCCGCAACATATGCTCCATAACTCTCTCCCATAGTTTTAAAGTATGACACATTAACTCAATTCATCTATAATTTGTACAATCTTGTTCATCATATTATTCTTAAAAATAGGAATCAATACACTCATTTTTCACTCATCTGACATATTTTATCTTTAACGAAGCTACAATGGCTGCCAAAGACACTTTACAAAGTGCCTTGATATCTCTTAAATAGAAGGGCTCAAAACGAGCTCATTAATGCAAGCTGCCGACATTATCATCCAAAACGATACTAATATCGTCATGTATGATCAGTACAATTTAAGCCCAATCAGCCGGGACGATTTGAGACGATCATAAGAAATTTGTTCATATCGTCCAGGACGATAATATATCGTCTGGACGATCAGTATAAATCATGGAATATCATCCTGAACATCGCCCTGAAAAACAGTTATCCGATGTCCAATCGTCCAGCATATCGTTCTGGGTGATTTTTCGATCGTCCAGGACGATTTGACCGTGAAATCAAGTCATAATTGCTTTCCTTAAATTCCAAAGAAATTTTGGAAAAATTGTCCTGGATCATCCTGGACGATATTTTATAGTCCTGGACGATCCACCGGGACGATATCCAAAAATAAGTAATTCTTAAATAGATCTGGCGGCAGATTATTTCTATTTTGAGCCTATCGTCCTGGTCGATACAAAATCGTCCAGGACAATGTATTTTGCATAATGACGGCTGCTTTAATGAGGATGCCCTAATTAGGGTTTCTGCTTTTGAACAAATCGTCCCGGACGATGTTACCAAAAACATTAAACTCTAAGGAACAGTCAGAAAATCTTCCAAGTTACAAAGCATCATGAGTCACACCAAATACAATAGACTCAAGAAAGGAAAAAGTGTACAAACTGACTCAGACCTAGTCTACCAAATCTTGAGCTGGTTCCAAATTGCAGTCTAATCGTGTGGACCTGAAATGACAGTAGATAAGGCAGTCGTAGAGAAATAAGAGTGTTTGTTATCATCAAAATCATAAACCATGAAAACAGATCCGCAACAATCTCCTCCCAGACTCGTCCTGGTAACGCCAATGGCTGCAATAACCCCCCTGGTGACATAGCTAAATACTTATTTATTTGGCAAATCTCGCACCTGGATACCATCTCTTCCACATCTCTATGCATACCTTTCCAATACAGCTCTGCCGCTAGTCTCCTATAAGTTTTTAGCACTCCTGAATGACCTTCCACTCCAGTTCCATGGAACTCCTGGAGCAATTGTGGGATGTGTACTGACATTCTGGGCAACACAAACCTTCCCTGATACAACAATCTCTCCCCCTCCAACGAGTACCTTGGATGGCCTCCCTCTTCCTTCAGTAAGTCACCTCTGATCTTGCTTAATTTCTCGTCTTTGGCACTCTCCTCCTTTATGGCTTCCCAATCTAACATCATTGGGACTGACACAGCCACTGTCTGCAGCTCCCCCATGCACCTGGACAAGGCATCTGCTGCCTTATTTTCTACCCCTGGCTTGTACTAAATCTCAAAATCATACCCGAGCAGTTTGGATAGCCACCTCAGATGCTCCTCTGTCACCATGCGCTGCTCCAGCAAATATTTCAAGCTCCGTTGGTCGGTTCTGACGATGAAATGTCTTCCGAGTAAGTAGGGCCGCCACTTCTAGATGGCCAAAACAATTTCCATCAACTCCCTCTCATAGACAGATTTCAATTGAGCTCTGGCAGTCAACACCTGACTAAAATATGCAATGGAACTGTGACTCTGCATCAGCACTGCTCCTGGTCCGTATCCCGATGCATCTATCTCCACTATAAAGACCTGAGTAAAATCTGGTAAAGCTAAAGACCGGGACTGTGGTCATAGCTTTCTTCAACTTCTCGAATGTTGTCGTAGCTGCCTCCCCCCATAAGAATCCATCTTTCTTCAACTGCTCAGTGAGTGGTCAAGCTATAGTGTTGTATCCCTTTACAAATCTTCTGTAGTAACCTATAAGCCCTAGAAATCCCCTCAGCTCCTTTGAATTTTTGGGCAGTGGCCACTTAAGCATGACCTCAATCTTGGACTGATCTGCTGCTACCCCTTCCTTGGATACCACATGCCCCAAGTATTCCACACTAGCTTGTGCGA